GTGTGTGTGTGTGTGTGTGTGTGTGTGTGTGTGTGTGTGTGTGTGTGTGTGTGTGTTATCTCCATGTGAATCAGCTCTGAGATCTGAAGCTTCTTCTTCTGTTCTTGCAGAAATGTCTGATGTTCCGTGAGCCTTGGCTGGACCTTGCCCCGGACCCGGCCTCCGGTCCCGGTACCGCCCAGCTGGACCCCCAGGATGGAGCCCAGCCGCTCCTTCAGGAATGAGATGGACTCGGTGCTCTCTCTGGAGCAGATCCGGGCCATCCGGGCCAACAACGACTACCTGGACAGACCCGTGGCCCTGGAACCGGCCTCCCAGTCTGGATTTTACTATGCCCACGAGGACCGGTACCCTGCGGGGGTGTACGGCCAGCGCCCCCAGGTGTCCTTGTCCTCGGACCTGTCTCGCAGCCAGAGTCAGCAGGCTCAYTTCTCCCACCTGAGCCGGTCCAGCACCGTCAGCTCGTCCATCTCCAGAACCAGTGCCACGTCTGAGCAGCGACTGCTGGCGGGTCTGACGCCGTCTCACAGCGGCCTGGGCTCGGTGGTCCACTCTCACAGCGGTCTGGGCTCGGTGGTCCACTCTCACAGCGGTCTGGGTTCGGTGGTCCACTCTCACAGCGGTCTGGGTTCGGTGGTCCACTCTCAGCCCAAAGGGGAGCTGAAGGCCGACGGCTCGTTGGGTAAAGGCCTGTCGGAGGCCGAGGCGGACCTCGGCCTGCACTCGTTCATCTGCGAGCGCTGCGGCCGCTGYAAGTGCCAGGAGTGCTGCAGCCCCCGCCGCCTGCCATCCTGCTGGGCCTGCGGCCAGCGCTGCCTCTGCTCGGCCGAGGCCGTGGTGGAGTACGGCACGTGCCTGTGCTGCGTCAAGGGCCTGTTCTACCACTGCTCGGCCCAGGACGACGAGGACGACTGCGCCGACCGGCCCTGCTCCTGCGCTCCGGCCCACGCCTGTGCCCGCTGGAGCAGCATGGCCCTGCTGGCCCTCTGCCTGCCCTGCCTCTGCTGCTACCCCCCTGCCAGGCTGTGCCTCGCCCTCTGCCGCCGCGCCCACGACCGGGCCACCCGGCCCGGCTGCCGCTGCAGCAACACCAACACGGTGTGCCGCAAGATCTCCGCCTCCAACCCCAACCACCCCTCGCTGCGGAGCAAAGCCGTGGAGAAGCCGTTATGACACGCCCACGAGTCAGGACCCGCCTGCCCACCTTCGACAGTCCAACCCACCAGGAACCAGGAGGGACCACAGCTTCACAGAGACACTTACTGCTGGAGACTCGTCTAGATGACCAAACAGTCGTGCTTCACTGGAAAAGCCCTTTAACTGAGAGTCCCCGGCAGAAACAAGGCCTCTCTGCGTTGTTACCTGATAACAGTCCTTCCCCCCGCCTGCACAGAAAGAATTTGCACAAAGAGAGGGGACCAAACAAGGAAGGGAAGACGCCTGCAGCCAACGACTTCCTGTCCTGTCGAACTAAAAACCAAAGAGAGCAGGAGCTTAGAGGACATTCAGACAACCTGAAGTGGACGTGAGCGAAACCAGACAAACCAGAACGGGACCAGGCACTGTAAAAACCCAGTCCGTTAATGCTGTTTGTGACAGAGGAACACTGTGAGATAAATGTTTTCCTCCACACCCACAACTGAGCAAAGGATTATTTAACCAGAGGGAGGATGCTTTCATTGTGTGTGTGTGTGTGTGTGTTGTTTCACACAAATACTAAATAATAAAAGAATAAAATTAAAGTTCAGGCTGCTTCAGCTCCGATATTTGAACTCTGAACTTGAATAAAGTCCTGCAGACATCAACATGACA